CCCCCCCCCCCATCTCACCTACACTGTCTGACGATGAAACTTACAGCTTACATTTGGCAGTAATGGTAGATGTGATATGTATCTTACTTCCTCACTGCTCAGTGGAAGTGTTAGTTCTGTCACTCAGTTACAGTTTTGGTTTCCTGTTGGAGCCTGAAAGAGCTGGTTCTCCATCAACCGATATCCTCTTTCTTACTTTCCGTGGAAATTAATCTGAACTGGCAGCCACATGTTTGGCATCTCTCTGCCCTAAAACATCTGAGTGAAGCAATACGTGTTTGTTGACAATTCTTTCCCACTTGTTTTTGTGTGTCTCTACTGAGCTTTGCATCCAGTAAATGAGGAACTTTTTTTTCCTTTTGTAGTGTTTTTTTTCATGCAAACACAGTCATTGGCACCTTATTTATTTCTCCTTTTCTTCACTGAAATCATGCCTCGGTGTCTTGGTTTCCTGACAACAAACCCAGGAAGTGTTCTCCTGCTTTTTGTAAATTAAAATGTTACACAATTCTTGGCTTTCTGTTGGCTTGACTATTAGCCAGAACCACAGGAAACCTATGGAGGGAACTGTGTGTTCTGATTGTACAGACTTTACCCAGTGTCTGTGTGTGATTTTGGCAAAGCATGATTTAGAGGACAGTTATTATTGATTTGTTTATTTATTAGTGTATTTAATTTTTTTTAAAGGTGTGGTGTAAGAATAAGAGTTGGGTTAAGGATTTGGACCAGGCATATATATATATGACAGTGTNNTTAATATATATATATATATATATATATATATATATATATATATATATTTATCTAATGATAATAAAACAGCATCTCTATGTTTTAGGAAGCACATGTGTTCATCAATGCAGAGAAGGAACGTGACGTCACAGAGGAGCGGATAAGAGCAGACCTCAACAAAGGTCAGGCCCAAGCTTCTACACAGTGGGCGAGGAGGAACTCCAGGTCCACCGACAAGGAGGAGTTGGTGGTGAGTGGTGTGAAATATCTGCCTTGTCCAAAAGATGGCAGCAAAGATTAATGCACTTTTCGTGAAATGCTTTCCAGGTCACTTTTATACACTCCACTCATGGTTCCAGTCTTGATGATAATACATTTATACACTCATAATAATGAAGCACCAAACATAGACATATAAAGTCCCTGAAATTGAAAGTTTAATTAAAGTCAATTTGTCTCATATTTGTTTTGTTTCACAAAAGGGCACAAACTACAGAAAAACAAACGCTGCTATGGAAATGAGGCGAATAAACAGAGACTCCTTCTGGGCACGAGCAGAGGTTTGTCAAAGATCTTTTCTGTCCAATCTGCTTTATTGGATTTTTAAATAATCATAATGGAATTACATGTAGAGTAATGTGCTTCATAGTAGTTTTTGTTTTTGTTTTTGAGTTCTTAGTTGTAAGAATACTGTAACGTTTTAAATGGAAAGACACTAAAGTTGTAGGATTTTATATTTTGTAACCATAAAATGGCAAAAATACTGAAATTGATGTTTGGTGTGTGTGTTTTTGTCAGCGTGAAGAAGAAGAGAGAAAGGAAGAAGAGAGAAGGCGAGCAGCAGAAGAAAGACGGCGCCTTGAAAAAGAGCGAATTCTAAGGGAAAAAAAGGATGCGGAAGAAAGAGACAGGAAGATGGAGCAGAAACTGCAAATGATTGAGGAGCAAAGGTTGGAACAATGCCTATTTTTATGTTTTTACTGCCCTCTACTGGCCATACTGAACAGCTTTCATTTACCTACTTTCTACAAAATGGATGTTACTCTGATTTGGACAGTGACGTTTGGATGACTAAATAATTGTACTTTTTTAATTTTCTATTTTTTGCTTCTCCAGGAGAAAACAGACAGAGAAGGAAGAAGAGATGTGGAGAAAAGAGAAATCCAAATGGGTGAGTAATCTCCATCTTATAATACTTTTCTAATAACAAAAAACAAAAACACTAGGGTACTTGTTTAGTGACTTGAGCTTTATGCATAAATTTGACACTTAACTTGCCTTAAAAACACCTAATAGAAAGTGTATATAAATCTTGTGTACTCGCCTACAGGAGCAACAGCAGCAGAGGGACCACGAGGAAGATATGAGGGCTTGTCTGAGGAGGAGTGAGTCCATAGAGAAGGCTGCTGTGAGTAATTAGATTTGTTATATTGAATTGAACTTTTGTCCTTGTCTTTGTTCTGAAATGTATAACTGTCCTGTAGGAGGCAGCAGCATTAGTATCCCAACGTACAATGAACCCGAGGGAGTTCTTCAGACAATTGTCTTCATCATCATCTCAAAGTCCCACCAGCCCTGGATCCTCACGTAGTGGTACATGAACGTAACTCTACTGTTACTAATACTACTACTACTACTACTACTACTACTACTACTGTTGCAGTAAACTTACTCTAAGATGTGTTATCGTCCAGTTTTTGAAGTGATCAGTGTTTTTATTTTCTCAGACCATTCAGACGATACCAGCGCAGCCTGACAGACACAGCTTTTATTTTCTCCAAGACAGAGGAAAGCACAGCATCCTCCCCCCGTAGTCCTCCACTGGTCTCCCCCTTCTCTCGGATTCCTCCTTCACCCATCTACCGTTCAACAACTCCCCCTAAAAGCCCTGATTTCCGTCCCGTCATCTCTCCCCACAGACCTACAGCCCTTGCGTCACCACCAACATCACCCCTTCGCACTGCCCCTCCACTTGCATTCCTTCCCAGTGATCCACAGACTAATGTTCAGACCCATGTTGAGTCCAAAACTCCATCACCCACAGAACCGTCTGCACCTCCGGCTTCACCCAGCATCATGACGTCTTTGTCCCAGGGTTTAGTAAAAGACCGCATCTCTGAGTTACATTCAGAAACCCTGCCTGCCTCTCCCCCGAACACCCCAAATCAGCCAGAACAGATGACCTTTGACTTTGATTGTGATTTGAGTCCAATGGCTCCAAGTGTCCCTCTCCCTGACAGACCACATGTCAACACAGGTAGCACAGAACCTGTTTATTGAGTTGCACATTTTTATTTGTGTCTTTTGTAAGCAAATCTGCTGAGATATGTTTCCACAACCGCACCTTGACTTTTCACAGTGACTCAATGTGAGAAGGGCTGCATTTGCCAGCTTGTTTCCCACGTGTTTACCAAGGGCATTAATCATATGACATTAAATATTGTTGGATAATTCTTTTTATTACTGGCTTAAAATTACTTTTGAGACTTCTGCCAAAAGCTACTCCACACAGTCCAGAGTGTGGAGCAGCCAAGACATGTGAATCAGAGGCTTATTATACAGAAATGACAGAGCTCAGAATATTTTTATAGTCCAGTCGCAATTAAATATTCCTAAAGTAAACACATACGCCCTTATTGGTGCCAAGCTTAACTGGAATATACAACTTTTACAGCAGTTTTGTTGGTCCACCATAGACATATCCAAACTTTATAGGGAGTTTTTAAACATATATGCTTATCCTTTGTTCATCGTTTAGTGTTTATAATTTAATGATTATTTTTTATTCCACAGACCTCTCCACAGTGTGCCCTGAGCTGGTCTTAGACACTGGCTTCACAGTACAGGCTGTTCTGGTGGAGGAGGATGAGGAAGAGGAGCTGGGAGAGAATGAGGAGGAGAAGGCGGACACAGAACCAGAGCACCAGGCTGTTATCACAGAACCAGAGCCCAGTGAGGCGGAAGTTCAAGAGATAAAAAAAGAAGAAGAAGAAGAGGAGGAAGAGATGGAAGAACGGGTAGAAGAAGAGAATGAAGACACAGAGGAAAACAGAGAGGAAGCAGAGGGAAGTTTGAAAGAGGACGTTGAGACTGCGTCAGGGGAGGAGCCAACGATGATGGCGAAGGATGGAGGTGGGGAGGAGAATGACCAGTCAGAGGAAGAAAGTCAGGTCCAGTTTGAGCCTATTGAGCATTTAGAGAATGAAGATGCAGCCTACACAGGTGGGTATCATTATCATTCTAACTGTATATGTGTTTTATTTATTTAGATACTGATATTTTAGAGAAATGACAGAGCCTTTCACTCACTTAAGTACAGTAATTCTGCAGCTGACTGACACAGTACAACTGTTATTTTGTTGCATGAATATACAGATGTTTTTCACATTTGATGTTGCATTTGTTGTATGTTGAATGTTGATTTATATATTTTATATTATTGTAATGAATACATATATACACAAGGCTGTACAATTACATTGATTTCTACTTAGTTGCTGAGATAGCATTTCAAGAAATCCAGGACGAGGCTGTCTATTTGTCAACCAATGACATTACAAACAGAGAACACACAGAGGACCAGAATGGCATAGGTATGACAACAGTTCAGCTATGGTGCTAATACACATTCAGACAATTTGGCCTTGTGTTAGTTTGACATCATGTATCTATTTTTCAGAGAGATCGCTGAGTCTCTCTGACACAGACCTCAGCTCACCAGAGCTGACCGGGAGCTATGATCTTCATGGCTTGTCAGAGGAGGATCACATGACGGAGGTGAAGGAAGAGGAGTTCTTAGAAAATGGACAAGAGGTAAGAAAGTGAATCTGCAGACTGATATTTGTAATGATATTTTCTTTTAGTTCATATCGATGGACGGATGGATGGATGGATAAATGGACTGATGGATGGATGGACGCATGGGACGCGAGAGCAAGGGGGGCGGGGGAGCAGGTGAAAGAGAGCGCGCTTGGCTGAGAGAGAAGTGGATAGAACACCTGCCGTAAAACGAATTAAATGATTAGTTCAAGATTCGTTCACAACTCGTTCATTTTACTGTTCGAAAGTCAAAGATTCGAATCAATAAAAAAAGAGTCGGACTTCCCATCACTAACGCACAGACTAGTGATGGGAAGACCGTCTCTTTTTACTAATTCGGATCTTTGACTCTCGAACAGTAAAATGAACGAGTTGTGAACGAATCTTGAACTAATCATTTCATTCGTTTTACAGCAGGTGGCGCTTTAGCCCTATTGTGGGCGTTGTAAAGAAGGTTGCGGTTCTCCGACACTAAATACTGAAGGCAACATGGTTTGCTTCCGCTGACAAAGTCTACAGAGTACACAAAATGCCATAAGCAATTAAACCACGTGAAAACATAAGAAAGATACATAAGAAAACACACCACAATGTGAAGATGAATAGTATTTACAGTATTTTACAGTATTTAGTGTCGGAGAACCGCAACCTTCTTTACAACGCCCACAATACGGCTAAAGCGCCACCTGATGTAAAACAAATGAAATTATTCATTTAAGATTCGTTCACAACTCGTTCATTTTACTGTTCGAGAGTCAAAGATCCGAATCAGTAAAAAGAGTCGGTCTTCCCATCACTAGCAGAGAGTGATTCGTGAGTTCAATATGAACAAATCTTTCATATGACTCGAGAGTCACGATGCACGAATCTTCCATGTCACTCGCGAACCACTAATCACTAGCACGGCCCATATTTGCCGCGTTGCCGCTCACCGTATCTGGATCCTTACAGCCCCCAGCATTGCATCGCTGTTGTCAACATTGCCGCTAGATTGGCAGAGCGGTGTCAGTTTCAACTTCATTGGTTTGTAGCACATGAGAATGGAGGTTCCAATTGTCATTCGTTATTTAAAAAAAAATCGATATTTGGACGTACGAATCGAGATTTGAATGTAGAATCGATTCATTATCGACGAATCGATATTTTGAACTCAGGCCTACTGGTAGTGGAGTCTTTGTGTCTGGGCCTGTTCAGGACAACAGTGTGCAGGGAAGCAACTGTAAATGCTCCATCACCTTGGTAAAATCCTCAAAACCTTTAAGGCCTCCTTGCAATTTTTAAAATTAATTTCTCTGCTGTCATTGGGAAATGGGTCCCAAACATATACATTTTTTTTTTTTTCAAAAGTTCAGTAATTTTCTGAATGGTTCATTTTAACATTTCCTGTAAGATGCAGTCCCTGCCATACTGTGTGGTGAAATTTTGTTGGGCAAAATGTGCATTTTATGATTACAGCCTTTCTCAGCATCAATATTCCTCCCCACCTCAGGTTTTACCAGAGCAGCAAATGTGCGTCCGAGCCTTGTATGACTACCAAGCAGGTAAGCTACCATTTGGAGGAAAATTGCCACGCATGGCCACATAAAGTGCTTCCACTTACAGTAATTACACTGTGATTAGCAGGTCTTCAACATGTTATCTTGTGTTTCCCACAGAGGACGAGTCTGAGATCTCCTTTGAACCCGGTGACATCATCAGGGACGTGGAAACGGTGGACAAAGCATGGTGGAGGGGGTGGAGCAAAGATGGACGCCAAGGGTTGTTCCCTGCCAATTATGTGGAGACCATATAGACCAACAAAGATGCACTATCATACACACACGTGCACACTCAGGGACACCACCTGCCCTTTACAGTCATACAGTTTTTACTTCAAGCCTCCTACTTTAACTTTGTTTACTCTACTTTGCAACAAGGATAAAACATAGTGTGGCTCTTTTTTGTTTTAATGATTTTGAGGAAATCACAGTATTCTCACAAGTATGCAGAAATTACCCCAGCCTCATTTTCCTGGATAAAACAGCACAGACATTTTTCCTGGACCAAAATAACTCATTTCCCTTTGAGATACAGTAGGAATGTTGGTGGGAGAGACCAGATCATGATAACAAATGATCACAAACTTGCTCCCCGTGTGAGAAAGATTTTACAGATTTTATTTTAGTGTCTCGTCCTCTTTTTGATCCACACATATAACAAGCATTCCTCTCCTCTTACTGTTTGCTTTTGTGTGTTACATTAGTAAGAAATAATTTACAGCTCTTGACTGGTATACTATATAATTAAGATGATTCATGTATCAGACAGCACATTGTAATCGTCTTCCTGCATTTCCTGAGTTATTGTCTGTTTTTGTTACTGAGTCTCACAGCATATGTTAATTACACAAAGGAGAGCAGCAGCATAACAAAAGAAATGAGCAAAGGACAAAGACACTGTGTTGACACCTGTGTTCTCGCTCTTACTCTATAGGTGGAATGTATTTTGTATAAATTGTAGCTGCCTCCCTATACACTTTACTTTAGTCTTAACTTTTTCTAAAAAAAAAAAAAAAAAATTAAAGATATGAAACAAAATCTTCAGATTTGAAATCTTCTAATACCCTGCACTGTATATAAGAATGTATAAAAACCAACAAAGATTTGCTCTATACTTTTGTCTCTTTCTAGACTTGTGTTTGTAAGCTGTTGGTATGTACTTCCTTTCTATTAACTTACAAATATATAGCTTGATGAAGTAAAAGTCTCTTAAAATGTTTTATCGTTAAAACAAAAATGAATACTCACTCACACACAGAGACACACACACTGGTTTCTATGGTTTGCGGGGATCATCATTTCTGTGCCACTTTGCGTACGCCTACATCTATCTTAAATCACAAAATAGTATTGTCTCAGTATATTTAAGTGAACATACAGTACGTAATGAGGTCAATAAAATAATTAATAATAAAGTATAATCTGTCTCATGTTAAACACGTTTTATCTAATTGAGGACACAAGGCCCTCATTTTTAATACAGTTTAATACTGTATGTTACAGTTTAACATACAGTTTATTTGGATACATACAGTACTATACAGTACAGATAACTAAAGAAAAATTATAAATACTTGATGGTAACATTTAACAGTCATGTTCCAAGTTGTGGTGCACCTCATCTTTCCTGTCCGTATAGTGGAACATGGTAGTCTCAGTAGAGGATATGTAATCTTAACTAGTCATTCAAACCCAACAGTTATTTACGTTATCTACTGTGGTCAATTCCAAGAACTGATCAGTGGGTGTCATCTGGTTGTGGCAACAACAGCTTATACTTTAGTTAAATGCACATTAAAAATGTTCAGATTAAAGATTTGGATATTTACATTTTGACATTAAACTTCAGTTCACAGTACAGTATGTCCTATAGTTTATCTCACAGAGCACCTTTAAATTTAATGACAATGAAAGACATATTACCATATTAGAGGCTATAGTAATAGTTTCACTTTAAAAATCTCTAAAGCATTGCTAGTAAAACTGAGTGTTTCACATTGTAGGTGAGAATTTAAAACCTAAAATTGTATGATTTATCAGATTTGTTTAATCACCCTGGCAGGCTATAATTAATACACATTTACAAGTTTAGAGCCACATCAAACATTATCATGTTGATGACTGCGGGTCGACAAAACGACAGCTGCAGTTTTATATTGCACAGATAGGTGGCGACATTGGCCTTTTCTTTTTGGACTGTTAAAACTGCAGAGATAACTAGTTGAAATTAACAGATTCCCTAGAACAAAAGGCAAAATATTTTGACAGGCAGAGATGAAGCTCATTGTTACACGTGTTTTAGATGTCAAATACTCAGGCACTTCCAAGGCTAAAAATTGCTAATGCTTCTACACCTTAAACAGGATTTTCCCCTCTGAGAGCAATGATTGATTAATGTGACATTGATATTTCTTAACTACACACCTTTAATATTTATGGAGGTGGAGTGTGTGTGTGTCTGTGTGTGTCTGGGGGCGAACAGGTTATACCCTTGTTTTGCCAGTTTAAAAAGCTTATTTTGCAGGTGCTCTAGTCGGCTTGAATATAGAGGAGCAATGTTTGCATTTGGCCTCATCCTGCATGAAGTGATGCCTCATGACAGACTGACTAATACATCCAGGACAGTAGTTTGTCATGGTTATCCCACAAGGCTAATCAACGGTGATATGTGTGAAAAGTTGATGAGCCTCTTATGAAAAACCAATTGGGTAAAGAAAAGGAGAGGACCGTGAAAGCCTCTTCAGAAAAAGTGAGAGGTAGTAAAAGACTTGTTAACTTTTTTTTTTTAAGAAACAACCAAAAGAGAGACATATTTTTTAAATATTTAAACACAGCGCTGATAATGATTCTAGGACTTTTCCTTTCCTGTTGGACCAAACCAACCAAAAAATAAGACAGAGATGATATGGTTGTGGTTGTGAAGGCAAATCTATCTGGACACTCAAATTAAACAGACAGATAGGGACACACAGGCTTATCGTGCTAATCAACTATGCCTTCTCTTTTGTCTTCAAGCTGTTTTCTTACTTCTGTGTCTCTCATCAATAACACAAACCCTCTGACCAGGGTGTTAAACTAACAGAGAAAACTGCCAGCCCCCAAGTTCACCCTCTCCTGGCTTTCCCTTTATCTCTTATTTAACTGACACAGCCTATCTTGCTGGTCGAGCCTTGACATGTGAAGGATGGCTGAGGTGAAGTGACAGTAGGGAAGTGCCACTCATGGTTGTATTATCAGCACAAAGGCCAACGACGAAAACCTAATCTGACCTGGCTGCTGATGGCTTGTGGCTTATTGGCTGAGTCTCTGCCGTCCCGCAGATCCTGGCCAACCCTGAGATATTTGGAGGGGAGGATAAGTGCAGGCACAAACACACACACACACACACACACACACACACCAAAACATATGGGTGTTATTGCCTACATACCCATTTAAAACACAGCATCAGGCGTTCACTATTCTTAGTCCCCTCTACTGAAAGAACCTCCTTCTCCTTGCAGTTCCTTGACCCCTGCCTGTCATTGTCTAACAAATAGTTTGCCACTACTTTCTGTGATTAATTATGTGTTTGGGAGAGGTGTCAGTTTGTAGGAGACAAAAATCTTACCGCAGCAGTCTCACAACTTTATGTTCAGCCTTCTTTATTTTGCAGTACAATAGCTGCAGGCACCTGCACTGAGAAGTGAATGAGACCTTTTTTTTTCTTTTTTGGCTCATTGTTCCGAAGGAAGCAACATGAAGGACAGGGTCACCATGTCTCTCCTCCAGGCTTTAGGTTACCTTGCCAGTTGTGCCAAAAGACTGCCCAGTTGGAATTTTCTCTCTCCAAAGTAATTTGAAACCTCCAGTTGCCATCGAGCTCTGATTTTGTGAAGCCTCAACAGAGCTATATAAACCCATGTAACTCCTGAAATACCTCTTTTTCTGGTCTCCCTTGCTGAAATAGAGATCAGTGTGGGTAAGCACCTGTAGTACAGGGGGAATACTCACTTAGAAAATATGTCTCATTTTCTTTTTCAGCTCTTTGTTTTACAGGGGCAACATACACCAAACTCAGCCATTTAGTGCTGGAATATTACCCGCCGGCAATGGAGGCTCAGATGCTAGACCTAGCTTTGTATCCAAATGTGACTCAACTCTTGATGCTTTTCTTCTGAGATGCTCTCAAGGCAAAGAAATAATCTAAAACCATATAATTTTCCTCAACATAAATCATCTTTAGCTTAAGAGTCAAATCATATTGCGTAAGTCTTGATTAAATCTTTGGTTTTACAAAACTCCCCTGTTCTCCATACTGTCATTCTCTGTTTTCTTCTTAAAGATTATCTTCAGAAAACTGTTCACCCAGATAATGCCTCGGAAGCGTCTGATGGCTGCTGCTAAGATTTCACTGTCAGTGTAGGAACTGGCCCATTAACTTCTAAAGCACTCTTTGGCAAAGCTGCCTTTACCCTCCGTCGCATTTTCCTTGGCCAGTTCTACACATGCTGTCCTAACAATGGATTGAGGATTAGAACATCTGTGACTTGTGGGGGAGGGGGAAAATGGATTAACAAAAATCTTCTTTCACCGATCACAGTGGAGAGTTGTTGGCAGCTTTTCCCTTCCGGGTTTTTTGATTCCCAAGAGGCATTTTTGCTTCTTTTTTTACGATACAATTCCTGCTCTTACAATCAGCAGACATGTGACATTGTGATCCAATCATGAAAATTGTTTTCTCCTATTCAGTTCACAAATGGTTAAATCTTTGTGTCCATTATGACGGAATCTTCATCGACTCTTCATCAGAATCTTTTGAGTGCCTGGAAACCACAAGGGAACGCTGAGAGATGGTATTTATTCCAACAGACCTCATACAAATATTTTATTTCTTTCTAATGAAAAAAATAATCATCCTTAAAATAAGGCAGCAGCCTTTTTCAAATCTCTTACCTCATCTCTGTGTTATTATCCTATTCAAAAAGTCTCCTTTCTCTTAATATCACATCATTTTTATTCACTGCTGGGGTTCCAGAAGATATATAGTCATCTGATTTGAGTTTATTGCATTTTTTTGCCCATAAAAATCATTTATAATTCCATTCAAGGAACTGACATTAAAAGTGTTTGCCAAAATGACCCTAATGTCTATTACTGAAATTAAAATTGTAAATCTGACAGGCACTGCTGCCTGCTTCTTAGGGCAAAATTGGACAATAAAAAATTATCACAATAAAGTTCTGAATTTTGAGATTTATAAATTGAGTTATAGTCTGGTTAATGACTTATATTACACGTGGTTACACTTTTAAAACATATTTTTATTTAGTTAGTGAGAATAATTCAGCAAAATTGATTCTATATTGTCACAATGTTGATGATGGCCAAAACATTGTCAGGTGTCAACAGTTAAAGAGTGATTGCAAGTGCAATGTCATAGATCTGGAATGGAGGGAGCTGATTTCTACCTTAAAGACAATAAGGGGTTAAAAGTTGGTTTCTAATACACACACGTACAACCCCTGTGGCACCACAATCACTGCCAGATGCTGTGGTTTCTGTCAGAGATTCAATTCACAAGTATCTCTAAAGGAGTGATGACACTCATCACTTTTAAAGGAAAATAATGTACATAAGCATACATGTACATTATATGCATGTGTGTGTGTGTGTGTGTATAGGGCAAGCCACTGGCGTATACAGGACACGTGACAGACCTGCTGGTGTTAAGACTAATTCACAGCCTGGCTTGAGGACAGCAGGCGGGGTAATGTGAGACATCTTTTCTCACACTATTTTAGCAAAGCCCACGGGGATATTGTTGTTGTTTGTTTCTTGGCTGAACTACATGATTTCAGGCAAGAGGTGTACAAGTGAAGCATGGAAAAAAACATGGCATGTCTGTTTTTATTTTGCTTTAGTAAAACATCACATCGTTAGTGAAGACAGATACAGTGTTTTGGTAAAAATCCTGCAGTTTCAGTACAGTACTGGAGTCATCTAAAGCAGCCCACTTTCTTCACCCAGGACTTGCGTAATAATTTGGTGGTTACTGTTCCAGTGATTGTAATGTTAACCATGCAGATTTATAGTGGATGAGACATCCAGAGCCAGCCCTTGGCAGCCAGACATGGTGCCTGCCCCAGGAGAGAGGAATGATGGAGAGCAAACAGCTAATAATTAATACCATGATTACACAGGCTGCAACAACACAGAGAGACA